CCGGCGGCGGCCAGCAGCGGCGCCGTGTGCAAGGGGCAACGCGGCCTGCGCCGGCGTTCAGCACGAACAGCTCGCTCCAGCTCAAGGCGCAGGCAAGCGTCATCTTGGTGGGCCGACCGGCAGGTCGGGGAAAGAAGGGCGCGTGGCGCGCCCACTCCACGGTGCTGAACAGCAGCCGCGCCGCCAGCTCACACACGTTGTCGATTCCCAGCACGGCGCCCGAGGAACCGCCGCCTCCGCCAAAGCGCCCCGCCGCTGCGGGGTAGGGCTCCGCACGCAGCAACTGCGCGATCAGCTCCGACACCGGCTGCCCCGGGAAGAGGTCCCCGCCGGCCACCGCGGCAGCCAACACTGAGCCCGGGGGGCTGCCTGAGGAGGCGGCCACGGCGCCAGGCAGAGAGTGCGGGATGCGGCCACGCTGGACCGCTGGGAGGGGGACAGAGATGGGCAGAACGGACGGGAGAGGGCAGACAGGAGATGGAGAGACAGGAGAGGGGAGAAGGGATGAGGGGTGAGGAGGTGGGGGAGGAATGATGAAAATGGTAAGGGGAGTGTGAAGGAACATGGGGAGGGGAGAGAGGGGGAGAGAGGTCCCAGGAGGGAGGAGGAGGGATGGGATAGGGGGAAAGCGGATATCCAGAGAATCGTGGGGGCAGGTAGGGAGAAATAAAGGGGAAAAGACAAAGTGATCAGAGGGTTACTCAGCCCCTCCCCTCTAAAAGCCCCCACACCTAGTCTTTCCCTAAAACCCCACCCCATGGGCACACAGCTTATTGGGAGGCCAGGAGTTCCGTAATGCAGCTCCCTCCACCCCCCTCCCCTGCCCTGTGCCTCCAGCCTGAGCCCTTGTCCAGCCCCAACCCCATCCAACTTCCTACAGAGGAGGACCATGGTGGGAGGACCTTCCTGGGTGGGAATGGGACCACTGGGTGAGGGCGAATTTCAGGCATGCCTGGCCCTCTCCCACTGGCCTGTGAGCTCCAATCAGCAGCCAGGGAGGCTTGACCTGTCAATCATGCCCCTATCTGTCAATCATGCCAGTCCCAGAGCTGAAAATGGGGCCAGGGAGGGGGTACTTTCCTAGGACTTGGGACCCTGGCCAGCTTGTCCCTAAAGCAAGTGATCTCTCCTATGGAGATGGGATCATTTCTCTAGCTCCCAGCCCGCCTCCCAGGCCATGGCCCCCAAGAGGATCTGTCTGTCTGGGTCACTGCAGCTGCCCAGTGCTGAGAATGGAGCCTTAGACAGCAGTAGGTGCACAATAAACATTGGCTGCCATCAGTAGTCTTGACGGGAGGAGGTAGAGGACTCACTGCTGGCCTCAGCCAGTGTCCCCAGTGACCAGGGCGGTGGGAAGAGGGGCAGACTAGCCTGGGTGCCAGGCAGAGACAGCTTTACTGAGTTGGCAGGTCCTGTCTTTCCACCTCCATGAACTTCTGGTCAACCTGCCATGGAGCAGATGGGGAGGGGGACATGGGTGGGAGCCAGGGGCATAAGCAGATGGGGGAGGAATGACGAAATGGGTAAGGGGGCGTGTGAAGGCTTGGGGTGAGCCATGCTCTGCTCTCAGAGGTTGGGGACCTTCTCCTTCCCCCTTTGCTCACTCAGTTCTAAA